TTATTTTAATGTTTAAATTTTCGGTAGTTATTACATTTTTTTAGGTAAAATTAATAACGCAGCATTACAATGGACCAAAAAGTATAATAACCGAATAAACGTCATTTAAATTCAAATGGTAATAATTATTATTTATTTTGAATTGAACACCCCAAATTTTATATCACTATCAGGAAGTATTTTTGAAGAACTTTCATTCTTAATTTAAACATTCCCTATACTTACCTAAAGTTAACAATTCTCGAGATAAAACAATTAAAAATAAATGTAATTTAAATATGAAGAAAAAATTATTTAAGCTTTTTTTCTTATTAATCGAAGTTTAAAAAATCAGAAAGAAACATCAAACATCATACCTCTTGTTTGTCTGTATTATTTTATTAGATAAGTAATTACATTCGGGAAAATTAAAATTACCATTTTTTTTTATTTTCTTAAATTTTAAAGTTAACGAATTTGTTCCTTTCTCACTGTATGTGATTATTAACGTTTCGCAAATTTGCCAGCTCTATTTTAAGTATAAATTCATAAAAAAAATACCAGGAAAACTTTCTATTTTATTTAATTTAATTCGTATTGTATGTGGGCTGATATCTAACGAGTTTTCCTGAATAAACAAACTGGAAAGTACCATCATAAAATATTATTTAAAAAAATCAATAAGTGCATTGTACTTACAATTAATTTTCATTTCTTTTAAAAATGTTTCTGCGATAATAAGAAATTATTACATAATTATTTGCTCCTCTTAATTTTTATTTCATGCAACTGCACAATAAATAAATATTGACACAACTTGCATTATTTATAGATAATATAATGCTTTAAATACACACCTAAAATCAAAGTTCCTAAATCTCTTTTCTATTTCAACATATTTTCCCTGTATAAAACAATACTTGTTTACAACTTGCGAGATATATAAAGTCATCGCTTGGAGCGCATCATAAAGGCTTTTAGAAACTTCAAAAGATCGAATATCCAACGTTTTCGCAAAGGAACAAACGGATTTCAAAGTCGAAAACATCCCGTAAAAATTTACAATTAATTCCGGTAATTCAGAGCATTATTTAACGGGAGCTTTTTGATGTTAATACAACGATAAGAATTTAATTAATTCCGAGAGGAAGAAATAATTTACGACCGGCTTCAAATTGGGAAATTCGTTTTTATACATACAATAGCAGATAGATAATTAACGAAATCGCGTCCATAAACAAAATTAGAATAATTTCCGATCGAATTGGCCACAGTTATAAATTTATCCCAGTTTGCATTCGGCCCGAATTTACGATATTACGTACAAATTTGCGGTGCCCAGTGCATTGTATTTCGCATGGTAATGAATTGGAGTGGACTGGGGAGGGGGGGAAGTTATGGCTTTCGCTTCCCGACATCTATAATTCAACTTCCTGGGGCTCTGCCCCGCAACAATGGCCCCCGCTAATCAATCCCGGATCACGTTCAAAGGGAATTTAGCCACTCTCAGCTATGCTTATTTCCCGTTGTAGCCTTAATAGTAAGACTAGTTGGTGTAAAAAAGGCCTTAGGCTTTGGTTTGTGACTATAATTGTATAACTATAACTGTGCATTTACTCGGATAGAGCACCCCGGTTAATCTTGAAACGTGTATAATTTTACAATCCCTTTTTAAAAATTTAGTTTCATTTATTCTTATGATACGTAAGTTTTACTCCTATTTGCTCTAAAAGTGTTCTACTCTGCTCTACTCTGCTCTATTGATGGTTTTCAAATTTTCCCCAAACCACAAATATAGCTAGAACTGATTTGTATCCATATACTTATAGGTATTCAATTGAATTGAGAAATATTAAATTAAATAACAAAGATATTAGATATTAAATTAAAGATAATTAAATATTAAAGATATTAAATTAAATTTATGTTAATTATTTCTTTATTTACTCTCTTATTCTACTCTGCTCTAACATTCATTTAAAAAGTCATTTCTGGAAACGACAAATAGAATAATAAATTCATTATTTCGGTTAGTGAACATATTTATAGAAAATCCCGAAACATGTCAAATTTTAATTATAATTTGACATTCTTCAACGTCAAAAAATTAGCTCAAAAATCGTATTGCTTTCCAGTTTATTTAAAAAATTAACATTAATAAAATAAAATCTTATTTCAGTTAAATTTCAGTTAAATTTATTCATCGAATAAAGTTTTATTTGTCGTTGGCGAAACCGGACATAAGCGATATTTTTTTATTCGATAATTTGCTCGGTTGCCATCGACTTTTCCAGTTTTTCCAGAGCTTCTTCCAGCCATTAATATCGTCCTCTAGCAACCCGTAACCGCATCGTTGCGAAATAAACTATTCCGGAATAATTGTTTCCAACTTTTTCCATCAAAACTTCCCGAATAATAAGCCAGTTCTATAATATTTTCTCTCCACTTTCATCGGACGATTCGACGGGCATCGTATTGGGTTTTTCCCGAATTAATTACTCGCTGATAATGATACGAAAGCGGGCCCATTAATAATGTTCATCCCGAAAGCTCTATCTAGTGTATCTGCTCCATTTAACATCTACATCAGATTGCAATTATTTTTTTTTTTTTTTTTTTTTTTTTTTTTTTTTTTTTTTTTTTTTATGCACACGACTCGGGAAAAGACGAAGCTTATAACGCCTGTTCAGGCGCCCCGAGGCGTTTTTAGTAGGTAATTGTTAATGTTGGTCTTAAACCTCTGAAGGTCGTAACCAACTGGGAACACTTCTGATGGTAGTGTGTTCCATAGTGTCGCGGTTCTGTACAGAAAAGATTTCTGATACATAGAGGTCCTAGCTGTTGAAATGTGTACGGCAAACTGGTGTGTGCTCTCCGCTAGCCTTGTAGAACGTCCAAAGTGAGCACCAGGTGGAATAATGGAAGCAATGGCTGCAGAACACCTTCCGTGGTAATAACTGTAAAAGAGACTTAAGTCGCTAACCCTTCTACGATGGTCTAGTGTATGAAGGTTAGAGGTTAATGAGGGGTCATCAACCAGGCGCACTGCTCTTTTTTGAATGGAGTCTAGTAGGTGCAAGGAGTGCTTAGGAGCAGAACTCCAAGCATGAGAACAATATTCCAATGCTGGACGAACTTGAGCCTTATAGAGTAACAGAAGCTGCTTTGGTGTGAACATTTTTCTGGCACGAAATAAGTAACTAAGCTTCTGGGCGGCTGATTTAGCTATGGTGGAAACATGTTCATGCCAGGTTGCATTTGAATTAATGCTGACCCCTAAAAGATGTAATTTATTAGTTGTTTTAATTGTTTGGTTATTCAATGCTAGTTGGGGTATGACGGAGGACGTCTTTCTTGTAAACATGGTTGCCTGGGTCTTGGAGGCGTTGAATTCAACCAGATTATCGGATCCCCACTTCAAAATAATTTGAAGGTCGTTGTTGATGGACTCAGCTTGCAAGAGCCTTTGGCGACTTGATTTAGATGCACTGACAGGTCTCTTGTTTGTAGTGGATGCTATGAGAGTGCTATCATCTGCGAAGCTGAGAATTTTGTTTTTGGTTGAATTTAAAAGATCATTTATGTGAATTAAGAATAGAGTTGGTGATAAAATCGATCCTTGAGGTACACCAGCGTTCAAAGAGTAAGGATCTGAAGTTGCACCGTCAACCACAACTTGAATTTGTCTCCTAATATTCCAGAGAGATACGGATAAACACAAGTTCGCCGGGAATATTATTACAGTTGTTAATGGTAATGTTAGTTAAATAAACAAACATTTTGCTATGCGTATAATTTATATAAAAATTATAGTGAGTTTGGGTCCTTCATTAGTTAATATAATCGCCTTTATGTTGGACCCGGTCGAAGGCAAAAAGCTCTCTCTGGGAAAGGGAACTTTTGCAAAGGTGTCACCGGCAGGGATTTATCAAGCTTTAAAGCGCCGACTTGACAAAAACCCGCCGGTTCGAGATAAGACCGCCTAAAACACAATTACGAAATTTCATTAAACGCCCGGGACTTTTGCAAATGACGTCTTGACCTTTTGCTGCATACAGCCAACCTTTAACGAAAATAAAACAACGGCTTTAATTTTCCCTGTTAACGTGCGTTGTAAAAGACCTGTTTTTTGTGCTTCAAATAAGCTCGGTTTGTAACGAGTAACCCTCTTGTGCTATAATATACAGGGTCTTTTAAAATGACATGCTAATATACAGCTAATATAAAATCAATTTTTTTGTAATAACTATGATAATATTGTAGATATTTTTATGAAATTTGGAAAACGTCTTCTATGAATCAAGATACATTTTCTGATGTACAAATAATTTTATTATTTTCGACAGTAGCGTCCATACGGGTTTTGCATTGAATGTTTTTGGAAAAAAATGGTACGCCACTGTCTATAAAAATTATTTTCGGAATCCTCATTCAATTTAGAACAAATTTGATTTCTTGACTTTTTTCCGTACGACTCATCGTTTTGCATTTAAAAAAATAAATGCATTTATTTGTATGCTGCTTTTACATTAGTCGCTGTGCTAAAATTAAAAAATAATAAATTTTAGGTTTAGGACTTATGTTCATATGAAGTTTTTTTTCTTAAAATAGGTCCAAGAATAACCCCCGCTAAATATTAGCATGTCATTTGGAACACCCTGTACAGGATGGTTAAAAAAAATAGGTATCCTAAAAACTGATCAAAATAATTCAACGTATAAAATTGCTTTCTGAAATTAAATTCTCCCAAACAACCCGCTTTAAAATATAATACGGGAATTAAAGTCCATCCAATTCGCGAATAATTTTCAATTAAATTAGCCATCAGCTTATCGCTCGGCCGAGGAATTTAAATCTTTTTAAATTCGAATTTTTTTATCGATTCGCCTCGTTTTTCCGAATCGCCGGAGCAGCAGAAAAGCGGCGGGATTTTGTAAATAAAATTGATATTTGAAAAATATTTCTTAAACGCATTTCCAGTTCCACGACTAATAATCGAAATTTGCCGCACTGATACTAGCATGTATAGTACAACGAAAACAAGGATCTCCCCTCGGGATCAAAGCGACCCGAATCAACCGAAACTTTCCCGAGACTTTCCACGCAAAGTTTCCCGCGCCCAAGGCCGCCTCGGACCCGAATCGCGTAATCGATTTATCGCAGTAGTTTGTGCTTTTGTTCCAGGTACATCGTACTCTATCAGCAGTAATCACCCCGTGCCCAGATTCATCTCCAGAGGAAACACCTTCAAAGTCGTCACCGGCGATACGGTTGTTTTGCCCTGCGAAATACAGAATTTGGGTAAGTTTTTTTTTCTTCGATTCCTGCTGGGCGCTATAAAGGATGTCCCACGACAAGTTAAAAATATCTGTCGTGGGACACCCTGTATTCTATTCTACTTTCTTCTACTCTCTTATTCTACTCTTCTCCTTTCTTATACTCTTTTCTACTGTCTTATAATTCTCTTTTACTTTTTTCTACTCGTCTGAATTTGTGTTAAGAAAATCCCAAGACTAATTAGGGTATATTGCAAAGACACATTAAAATAATCCGGCTTATTTTCTTAAAGGAAATTGAATCATTACAATATTGTTCACAATTTCCCAACATTTATTCAAATTTTAAACACATAATGGATTCGTATAAACAACCCCATTAGCCCATATACAGATAGTTTTAATTCGTCGTGGGACACCCTGTATAGGGAATTTCAGGGAACACTACAATAGATAAAATAAGGGTTGTATTTTATTTTGAACGTCTAGATTTTAGTAATAAACTTGCGACACATTAACTTTTAATCCGTATCGTATTAACGACTGGGCAACCCTCTATTTAAAATGGCGAGTAAAATTTAATTTTCGTTCTCTCCCGCACGATAAAATACGATAAACCGGCATCATCAGTAGGTTTTCTATAACCCGTTAAAATTTATTATGCCAGTAAATAGGATGGAAAACGAGCACCAGTAACGATTCTCGTCCCTTAAATTCCAAGAAGGGTTGTTTGTTCTTTGGATTTTTTGCGACCGGTTGGTCCAAATGAAACGTCTGGTTCTCGACTGACGTTGATTAAAAGGACGATGTAAAAAAGATCTGTTCTCGTCCTGAATGATCGATTGGTATTTTCCCAGAAACCTATTGTAAAGGTCCTTGATAATGATCCTAAAACTAGAAGTAGTTAGTAACTGTTACTTTTTTTGGAAACTTCCACCTCTAACACGTGCCGACTTAAGCAATTAGATAGGGAAATTTGCATTGGACTAGAGATGGGCGTTGATAAAAATAACGTAACAGTTACAATTCGTGGATTTTTAATGAAAATTATATAAAGCTATTTCCTTTCCGCTCCGATTTATTATAAGAGTGCACTCGGCACAATTAAGTGCACAAAGCGCCCAAAAAAAACTTACGCAGCGTCTGTAATAAATTCAGGAAGAATAGAATCCCGGACGGGGCGCCATTTTGCATAGAAAATTATCCCGGAATAGAGCAAGCCGGGAATTAATAACACCCATAAACCTCTAGCATTGTCTGGATACGTGCAATAAGTGCGTTTTTCCAGCCGGGACAATAATAAAATTCGGGAGAAGCCGCAGGAAAAGGGTGGTGGCTGAACAACCGTTCTAGCCGGGGATTAGTATTAACTGTTCGGGATGATACTTCGGGTGATTTATGCTCGGCGAAAAAGTTTGTTTTTTAGCATTGTGATCGAGATGAAAAGGATGTTTGGTACATTAAATATTTCATTACCGAGGGTATTAAATGATCCTGAACGGGGGGGCGATTCCGGATGCATAAAAATTCAGTATTTTTTGTGCATGATGAGCAAAAAATTTCTGTACAGTGAGAGTGTGAATGTTGGAACAAATTCGTTGAATTCTTGATTTGTCCATTGGGGAAAAAGTGTCCCAAAAAAGTCCCAAAAAAGAGATATATGTGACTATAACTTACATTTTTATAAGGAATGTTCTATTTATTATTTCATTTTTAGTTTGTTAGATGAACATAAATGTAAGTTTCATAAAGGTTTTTTTATACCTAAACCTTGACGTTTTTGAAAAAAATCGAGTTTTGTGATTTAGCAGCGTTTATTTTAATGTTCAAATTTTCGGTAGTTATTACTTTTTTAAGTAAAATTAATAATGCAGGATTACAATGGACCAAATTTTATATTACACTTTTCAAAAATTGAGTAAAATGTACAGGATTTCCAAAAAGTATAACAGAATAAACGTCATATCCAAATGGTAATAATTATTATTTATTTTAAATTGAACAGCCCAAATTGTATATCACTACCAGGAAGTATTTTTGAAGGACTTTTATTCTTATATTATACATTCCCTATACTTACCTAAAGTTAAAAATTCTAGAGATAAAACAATTAAAAATCAATGTAATTTAAATAAGAAAAAAAAATTATTTAAGCTTTTTTTTCTTAATAATCGAAGTTTAAAGAATTTTAATATTCCCATTTTTTTTAATTTCTTAAATTTTTAAAGTTATACTTTTTGGAAATCCTGTATATTTTACCGAATTTTTGAAAAGTGTAATATTAAATTTGGTCCATTTGTAATACTGCGATGTTAATTTTACCTATGTCAAAAGGAGTTTTTCCAAGAGTTTATTTCTCCCAAACTCTTTTAGATAAATTTAAAACATTGCACCTTCAGGAATATCTTAGATATAAAATTCCTGCTCAATTGAGTTATCCTGAATTTATACGATATCAAACTTTATAGAACTTTACGTTCTATTATACTCAGCAGTAATCCTGCAATTGTCAATCCCTGCAACACCTAGCTATAACCATAAAAGGATCTTTATCAAAAACACAAACAGCTCCTGCTGGGGTAGCTCCGATTTAGCATATATAACCCCGCAGGCGGTAAAGATGTATGAGTATATGTACACATAGAACAAACACATAACCGCCGCATGCAGGAGCATTTGCATATAGATTGGGCGCAGGTAAACCGGAGGATACGCGGGGCTCCTGTGGGGCCCGGAGGCGCCGAAATTCATCCCCGATATCCGATGAATATTCAACGGGGGTTTTTTGTAATGGAAATTACTTCTTTTTGAAGTATAAAATTTTGTGTTTTCGGTTGGATAGACACTCGTGTGTAAATAGTACGCGTATACACGCTCGTTTCTTATATGTATGTAAATTTTAATGAAAATTATGTTTTAACGATTTATTTCGGTGTATCTTTCAATCAAATTCGTTATGAAAACGGACGTTTCGCAGTCGAATTAATTTACATGACGGAATACAAAACGAATAATTTTACCGGGAATTTCCATGCGGGGAAATTTGAATTTTTTTGCCAGAATTATATTATGTTGGTAATGTGTAACGTTACCTACGCGTTTCGAATATTTAAATTTAATATACAGGGTGGAAACGCCAAATGGAATAAAAATTCATTATTTCGGTTAGGGAACATATTTATAGAAAATTTATAGAAAATTCCGAAACACGTTTAAAAAAATAGGGATTGTAACTTTCATTCGAAGGAAGTTGAAGAAAGACTCACATTTTGATGTTGAGGAATGTGAAATTATAATTAAAATTTGACATGTTTCGGGATTTTCTATAAATCTATTCACTAACTGAAATAATGAATTTATTTCATTTGGGCCTTTCCACCCTGTTTAATAATACGTTTTTGTTGTTTTAATTTTTGTGAAAATTTATTCGGGATGAAATTTCGATTGAAATTCGACGAAATTCGAAGATTAAAATTTGAATGTTTTAAGCAAATTTGTGTTAAATTATTATGAATTAATCGTGTAATGTAATCAAGTAATACTTATTCTGTTGTACCAGCACATGGATAATAAAATCAACAATCCTCGATAAAATCGATGTAGAAATTCGCGTTATTTTCGCATTCTTTCCGCCGAAAACCCCCGTCAAGTGGGAATCCTGCAAAGAGTAATTACAGTGAAATTAAACGGGAGCAGGAACTTCTCTGGCGGAGTTCCCAATGCGACTTCCACTTTCGTAATTCGAATACCCCAATTTGCATATAAATTGTCAAACGACCGGCCGAATTCGAAATATATACTCGCTCATATTCCGGTTATTTTCACGACAAACAAGCCCTTTCTAACACCGCCATATTTGCATACACTGAACGAAATGCGGTCTAATCATTACCAGAATTCTCATATTCTTTATTAAATAGTTGTATACTATTTGGGACAGTGAAGCGAGTTGCTACTAATATGAAACACGAATTGCCAAACTGTATCATAAATATAATACAACTAAAGCTTATTAGTGTTATGAAACGTTTGATAAAGGGTATTAATGCATTTCAATATTGACAGTAATGTTAGCTCATAGAGTTAACAAAATTATTTAGCCACAGCTATAACCAATTACATAAAAATAATTGAAGGGCGCCGTAACAGTTATAAGATATTCTTATAACAGATATTAAAATTTCTTGCCACTGGTTTAATTACAGACGCTGCTCTAATGAAATTAGCTGATTAAGATTATAGGCTTCTTTCATACCAGTTATTATTTATTTGTAGTCTGATAATAATCTAATATATTAGCCTTTATGAAATGTTCACTTACTTGCTATACACTATTTTCATTGCAAATATATTTGGGAAAATGGGAATTTAGGTTAAATGTCAACATATAATTGACACAAAAACGAAGTACCTATGAAAAATAAACATTTATTTTAAAATGAGAAATTTTTAAAATGAATACACAAATTTGAACTAGAAAAATACTGATACATAACATTTACCATTATAGAGTATGTAAGGTTATTTGTTTGTGGTAATACAGTTCAGATTGAAAAACAAACTTATATCTTTCACTTATTATACACAAAAAAAGAAAAGAAATGTTTTAAGAATTAGAATGTGTATTGGAATTATAAAAAAATTGCTAATTACTCGAAAGGATTTTTAAGTGTAATGTGGATGTACCTTAATATGCAGAACGAAACTCTCTGCCGTTTTCGTTCTCGATGGTCGCCAGGTGAGCCTAGAAGAGCCCTTTCGAATCGTAATTGGAGCATCAAATAAATACGGCAATATCAATAGAGTCACTATATGTGGATCCAATCATTTTCATTCTCGACAACTTTGATTTTTCGCTATTTCGCCAAGCTTATTATAGCTTGAGCAACTTTGGGGAACGTTGCGTTTAGTTGATCAATTTTGTCCAGGTACAAATGGTTAAAATCACTGTCAATCTGAAAACAAAAAGCCAAAAAAATATATTTAGTTTGCAAATAGAATATAAAATGAGAATTCTACATCAGTCTTTTACCGAGCCAAACCATGCCTTTATTAACAAATTATCTATCTAGAATTACTTACTATAAAAAACATAAGTATCATGTACGTACCTTGAAATGAAGGAATGAGCCCCGCTAATCCCCAATTTTCCAAAAAAAGTTTCCATGGCATTTCCAATTTTTCATACAAATACAAGCATACAAGCACGAAAAAACACATAAACGATCTTGTCGATACAAGCTCCGCGAAAAAATGCGCCAAAATTAACGACTTAGAGGTCACGCACCCCACCACCGGCATAATTATGTTACTGGCTAATAGAATTGTTTTAAGGGTTATAAAACGGGATCTCTAAAAATACATAACGTTTAATACACTTAATACAGCAGAGAATGTATAAAACCGAATCATCCCACAATAAATCATTTAGTTAGCTTAACAAGAATATTTGTTTCCCCGTATCATTCTGTGGTAATGAAATGAAAATTATTGTTGTTAATAGGTCGGTTCCCTGTAGAAGCGACATGTTACATACACTGTATAAAAAATCTTGTAAGTGTTATGATAACAAGTCTTGCAGTGCTGGTGTATTAGGTCATTTTTTTCTGTGTACTGTCTTTTATGACCTATGATCAACATTTCATCACGCGCTTAGGATTACATTTTTAATTGCACTTGTTATAACACTAAATTATGTAAGTAATTATTGATAGACTCGAATTAAACATTTAGCGAATTCTCTCCTTTAATCTGCCACCCGAACTAATAATATGTAATGGTGAATGATTAATTAGAGTCGGGGTGTTCTACAGAGTGGGTTTAATCCTGCCCTTTGATGTTTGTACCAATTCGTCAATAATAAATAAAATACGAGGGCGCATGTATGTCATTTGAATTCATTAAAATGATTATTATAAACCGAATTAATGCCGGGCAGGATTAAATATAGTATATTCGGGGAGCTCGGTGTTTGTTTTGAATGGAGAAATATATAGCGAATTCGGTTTAGAGGGATTATCGGGATTGTTTAATGCGAAATTAAATGGCAGTGTTTCTGTTGAAATTGGTTTGCAGAATTTTGCACAAAATGGGTATTATCTTAGATTAAATAAATAAATAAATAGTGTTTTTAAATAATTTATTGAGTACAAAATTTGTGTTAAAATTGAGTCAAGTAGTTAGAAAGTAGTACATTTAAAATACATTTTTAAGCCGGAAAAGTGTATACAAAATTACAGAAGTTTTTCAAAGTATACAAAAATTTACAAGCTTTACATTAACTGTACAATTACAGAAAGTTTCTCAACTTGTATACATCAAGTACATTAAAAATTTGCAACTTTATAATACATTAAATCATCGAAATATGCACCATAAAACATGTTTAAAACGCCCGATTCTTACGACACCTTTCGACAAAACAATGCATCAAAACCTTCCTACCATAACCCAACTTATACTTGCGATTTTCGCCCAAAACCCTCTGCAATTCTCGATTCCCATCGTACAGGGAAGCCCTGAGTTTGATGTCTTTGGGCACGTTCGTCCTGTCGTTGAATTCCACGCAAACTTCCCAATATTTCTCTCCCGGTGTGAAGGTAACAACCACGAAATAGGGCACGACCCAGACGACTTTCTGAACCACCGTGTCCGGTTCCTGATCGGCGGAATCCAGTTCGACGTCCAAGAACGGTTTCGTGCAAATATCCACGGCGTGATCGTGCGATAAATGCTCGAGTATTTCCCCGAATGCATCCGAAACAGCGCAATCTTCGAAGGGACACTCCATGTCGGGCTGGTAAGCGCAATCGTTTTCGTGGTTTGCAAGATTATCGGCGCAAAAACCGCAATTAAATCGACATTCGTACGATATACTCGAACTTCGAGCTTTGCTTATCGGATTGTTTTTGATAATTTTGCGTTTTTTCGCGTCGATTTCGTGGCAAAACTCGCACAAAAAGTATCGATTACCGTCGATTTCGAGGAAGTAACCGGGAATGGGACCGCCGTAGAAATAAGCGAAACAATTCAAACAATTCATATATATCCTCGAATTATCCTTAGTATTAACTAAGTGAGTAAAATCCTCGCAAACTTTCAGATTCGAAGGCAATCGGTTTTCGTTAATTTTCGCCGGCCATTTAACGTTAACGTTAGCGCACAAATCGCGAAAATATTCGAAATTATCGCCGCAGCGAATCTTCACTTTGGCGATTATCCAATCGATGTCCAGCCCGTCGTTGTCCTTCTGCAGAATTTGCAAACAATCAATCGGTTCTTCCAGCAGGAAAGTTTCGAACACCAATTGAACGTTGCCGTCTCCGAGATTGAAACTGCTCAATTTGAAATCCCTCGACTCCACGTCCAGGTCGCATTTGATGAAAAACAGGCAATCCTGCTCCTTGTAGAGGTAAATTTCGCTCGTCGAGTTCATGCGGACGTGGAACTCGGGATGATCCAGGATCCAGGAACGGTGGTGTTGCCGGAAATGCTCCTCCATCGAGCAAGCAGGCAGGATAACTCCAGGACATCTCGGGCAAAAGTGCTCTGCTGGTCTTCTGTTGGTGCTCTTGATAGACTCCATTATAGCAGATATTTATAGTGATACAATTTGCACTGATGTTTTGGTGTGAATGAGGCCAGTTGTGCAAGATGCAGGTATTTATATAATCTGTTTTGGGGATTAATTAGGAGCCAGACTGATTGGGTAAATCTGTTGTGATTAAGGGCTGTTTTGGCTAATGGGGTTGTTTATACGAATCCATTATGTGTTTAAAATTTGAATAAATGTTGGGAAATTGTGAACAATATTGTAATGATTCAATTTCCTTTAAGGAAATAAGCCGGATTATTTTAATGTGTTTGTGCAATATACCCTAATTACACTAGGGATTTCAATTTTTCATTCGGACCTTAATTTGCGAGAAAATCGACTGTTTCTATACTTTTTGGACACCCTGTATGCATTTTCAATGCCCAAAAGCTTTCGAGAGAATTCGAGCTTTTTGTAAAAATAACAACGAATTTTATAAGTTTAATTTGTTAAGGTACCCAATCGATTTTCTGAATAATTGTAAGTTCAACATAAAAGCTAAAACGGATTAGTTTTTCAATATCTGGATGGGAGTCTGGACCGTGTTGAGATGTATACGGCTTCGGACGCTATTCAGGATAAATCCAGATTTCCGAGATTAAAATATATATGCGAGAATTCTGCATTTGTATTTTTCTTCGCCCGATTGCTCGAAATTTTCGATTCGACGGGCATTTTCTTTAGCCGCAATATCTCCAGGTAGAATTAGCGGGGAAAAAATGCCGAGGCAATTTCTGTGTACAACGTATTATAAAACAAACAAATATCGCTCTGGAACGTTATTAAATCGGAAAAAGTCGACTTTAACTCGGTTTCCAGACGGTAAAATCGAGCGTAAAAGATGGAAATACGATTTTTCTCACTACATTAACCAGGTATCGCGGATTTTCCGCGACAGTGAGTCTTCGACTCGGGAGAAAATCGACTCGGATTTCTTCATTTTTTTTCTCCCATTGTTGTTATTTACCTGTCGTCGGAAACGGACGAAATATTTTTGAAAATATTTTATACAGAAATTGTATTATAGTTAATTTATTTCATTTTCTACAAAATTACTGCACAAGTCTCTTCACCTATATTTTTGATATTTTTTGTTATTAAAAAAACATTAAATTTCAACAAATAATTGTTATTTTTTTATTTAATATCGAAAACTATCGTTTTCGATAATGGAAATTGGATACAATGTTTACAAAAACTTCCCAATAACCTGATGCATATCGTTAAATTATCTCTTGCAATATTCATCAAATTTTATAATAATGTTTACGCCATTATTGCTATTAATGGAGAATTCGCAATTTCGAAATAGCGAGGAAATAATTTTAATATAACACACAAATCGACCCAAAATAACTTCTCTAATATTTATATTAACGTGCATGGAATAGATTTTTCGGGATACATTTGTATATCAATTACCTTACCATCATGATTATTATTTGTTTATAAACTGCAGTAAAAGTAAATTTTAATTCACCCGTTTAATTAAAATATAAATTAAATTAATTACGTGTCGAATATTTTAAGCTAATTACCGCCCTAATAATTAACTGCACCGTGATAAATTCGCTCATAAATTTTCGTATTTTCGAAAATATTTAAGATATTTATTCGAAATAAATGGCCTTTTCCTATGTATAAAAAAAACTACAGGCGATGATTCAACCGGATTGTTGAAATATCGCGACATTTTAGTGAGTCAAAATGGAAGTTATAAAAGCCCTATAACAATAACCGAATGAGTAGTATATGCCATTTTCACCCTAGTTATTTTCCCTCCCCCGCGGCAGGAATTAAAAATGTCGATTCGGCTATTCGATATCCCAGCGGTCTATTCACAATTCGATTTATGGTTATTGGAGAGCTTTTTGAGAGCTTTTTATTCCGACAGAAAACAGAAATTCCCTATCCTTTTACAACCACTTTTCCCTCAACGAATATCGTTCGTTTTTTACTAGCGCATGTAATGTCTTTAGATATGTTTGTCGGTCTGTAAGTATACAGATGACGAATGTTGTTTTATTGGTGAAAGAAACTAGCAAAGTTTCTTTTGTAAATCCCCCGCATTACCATAGAAATGTAGCGTTTAGAATACATAAAGGCAAAAAGGGCGCATTCACGAGAGTCTAGTTTAACAAACGCCGGAAGCGCCCCATTTGTCATAGATAGCGGGAGATGCAGGAAGTAAAAAACAACCCCCGCACAAAAAACAACATTTATGCACGTTTTTTTTCTGTCCAGTCATTGTCGCTCGGTTTCGCTATAAATGTATGTAAATAAGGAATTTTATTTTATTCGAAACGTATACGTTTTACATACACACATAGTTTGTGCGGTTGGAGTAATTAAAAATTACAAAACGTTTCGAATGCTGCCGGCGCATTCGGTTAGATTCGTAATGAAATTAGCGAGAATGTTGTAAAGGAGAGACCGAGAGAGCCTTTGTGTGCGATAAATTTGAAATTTTTAATTAATTTCGGGCAAACTTGCCTCGTCGAGGCGTGTACGGACCGATGGGAGTAGCAGGAGACGTTCTATGAGCGGTTTAATATGCGCGTGGTGTTCCAGCGTTTGCTGCTATTTGTATCGATCTGTACCTAGGAAAATTTGTTAATACCAAAGACATTACAACTAAGAGACTAAAGGTTTCTATGATAAATCCCATATATTTGTGGACTGTTACTGTTTTAAAATTTCTTATGAGTGGGAGAGAGAAAGACATATATGTTATGACCAACTGGCAACGTTGTAACCAAAGTGTCTTTATAATCGTCAGTGTCAGAATTTATAAATGTAATGATTTACAACAAACATATTTAAACAATTTGGTCTTTTAGTTATAATGTCTTTGGTTAATATTTTATAGTTTTGTTTGATCGAATACTCAAATACTCTTTTATAGAGTTATGTTAGAGAAAAGATATCCCGAGACGGGCGGGCGTCTTGCCAAAAATGCCGGGAAACGCCGGGAAAAGCCGTAAAGAGTAAATCAAAAGCAACAGGTCGCTTTTCTTATTCGATTCTTTCGTATATATTTTTTTCAACTTTACCTTAGGGGATTTACTCGAGGGATTTGAAATTTCTTCGGAAATATCCGATAGAATTTTTTATACTTTTTTGCTCCGGGGTTAAGTTTTACGTAGGAATTAAAGAAGAATAGTTGAAAATATAAAAAAAATAAAGCAAAGAAACGTTTATAATATTTTTTTATCAGGCAGCCAATTCTAGTAAATCCGAGGTAAATTAAACCAATTCCACCGACCCGAAATCGCATTTAAAACGGACAAAACAAATAAAAAAAAACCGGTCGGGTTCTTTTTAATTCGTTTAAATTTCAAATCGATCGGCGACGAGCGGGAGAACTCCGAGCGCAAACGGCACGTCCTCGAAGCATTTCTGCTGTAGTTAATTAAATAAATTACGGTTCAATTAAACTTTGATTGCTAATTGATACAATAAACGTAGCGAAACGATACGCGGTAACGCCGGATATCGATCCCATTGGATTCTAATGGCCGTTTATTTGTACATTCGAAACGTTATGGTATACGTTATTTTGTAACAGAAAGTTACTACACCTCTATACCGAAAAATCGATCCCCACCTCTATTAAACTTCTGTCATGCGAAATGTCATTAATGTCAAATTTGTATCATCGAAAGCATCTTAATATATCGTAGGTTCATAGTTTCAATGTTTCTAGAGTTCAAATGATTCGATGATTCGAGTTGAATGATTCAAGGATTCAAGCATTCCTAAAGCATTGTAAAGTACATTGTACATTTAAGCATCGTAGCTTGCCACACATCAATTCCCCCAGTTCATTACCCCTACAAAGTCAACTATAACTCTATCAAAGCTCAAAAAGCTCGACCGGTTAAAGCGCGAGTTCGGCGAAATCAGACGACGGGGATCCGTCGAGGATCCGAAGACGCCACTGCGCTCAGAAGGCCGGATTAATCCGGCGAACAAACAAACGCGGAGAGGTACGAATTCGAGTTTAGAGCACACACACTCATAAACTTCGGCTAGAGGCTTTGCGCCCGGATTAGAGAGAACGCAAAAGGGATCGCCCTGCACGGCGTCAGCTGCTTGAATAAAAGTTTTTTCATTAATTATGCGCGTTTTTTTCTTGTGATACAAACTGCTATAGTGTGACTGAGGGAAGATTAACGCTGGACAGAGGAGGTAAAATATCATTTGGGTTTTGTAGTTGAAAAGATGTGTTGCAAGATACGATGCTTAAATGTACTCGTAGAATGTACTTTACAATGCTTTAGGAATCCTTGAATTCTAGAATCATTCAACCCTGGAATCTTCGAATCATTTGAACCCTAGAAACATTGAAACTATGAACTTCTGAATCCTGAAATCCTCAAATCCTCAAATCATTGAATCCTCGAATCCTTTAATCCTTTGACAATCCTTTGAAAATTAATTTTTTACCTTTGCTCCAACTAAAAATCTCATTCCTGTGATACACATCGCATATCATAGATCAAGTTATCTTTATATAGGACCTTTACCGAAGGACCTCGTAGTAAAATTTTGAATAATTTACACTTTTCCATCGACCCTATTGTGTAAACAGTTCATTTACCAAAGGATTATTGACCCCTTTTTATAGTTCGAGCGGGGCTCATTAGTCATTCCGCATTGATAATTCAACCTCCGGCATTATATCTTCATCCGATATCGTCCTTTTTTTTTTCTCTTCTCTATTTTAATCCCTATTCGTCCTCGAACAATATCGAACAATCCTATCTGAGATCGTGGCTGAATTGCCGGAACGTTGTCTTTCTAAAGGCCGCCTTCCTCTATCAAGATCCTTCACCCTTTGCCGTCCTTTGTCATTTTAATGTCCTTTTTAAACATTAACAGTCGGCTGCTAATCAGGATTCAGGATTCACGCGTGTGTGAAGGTAATCGGAGCGGTTGGGTTTTTTTTTTTTAGTTTTTTATTTTTAGTGCAAAAATTTAGCATTTTT